AACATTTTCCAGTCTTCAAATGTCCAATTTTGGTGAGCTCTTGCAAATTGTAGCCTCTTTTTCCTATTTGTAGTGGAGTTGAGTGGTACCCGGTGGGGTCTTCTGCTGTTGTAGCCCATCCGCCTCAAGGTTGTGTGTGTTGTGGCTTCACAAATGCTTTGCTGCATACCTCGGTTGTAACGAGTGGTTATTTCAGTCAAAGTTGCTCTTCTATCAGCTTGAATCAGTCGGCCCATTCTCCTCTGACCTCTAGCATCAACAAGGCATTTTCGCCCACAGGACTGCCGCTCACTGGATGTTTTTCCCTTTTCACGCCATTCTTTGTTAACCCTAGAAATGGTTGTGCATGAAAATCCCAGTAACTGAGCAGATTGTGACATACTCAGTCTCAGACCGGCCCGTCTGGCACCAACAACCATGCCACACTCAAAATTGCTTAAATCACCTTTCGTTCCCATTCTGACATTCAGTTTGGAGTTCAGGAGATTGTCTTGACCAGGACCACACCCCTAAATGCATTGAAGCAACTGCCATGTGATTGGTTGATTAGATAATTGCATTAATAAGAAATTGAACAGGTGTTCCTAATAATCATTTAGGTGATTGTATATACATCAGGGAAAAGGGTTTATGGATTGCATGTCATTGGTATACATGGCATGTGTCGCATCGGAACATTCAGTGATACTTTTGCATCTTTTTTTTTTAAAGCTTGATGGTCAGCCGCTATTCACTGCTATTTAATGGACAAGCGCGAGTGGGATTTTTAAAAAAAATGTTCCTGTGGTCTCCTGTGGTCAATAAAAGAAAGAAGGGGATATAACACAAGGGTGAGTAAATAATGACTTAATTTTCTTTCTTTTTTTTTCATTTCATTTGTAAAAAAAAAAGGGTGAATTGCAGGTAAATTGGGACACATGATGACTGGGGAAAAACGCCCCAATTATCCTGAATTAACCCCAAGTAACAAAGGCCTTTATGATATCATCTTCCAGGAAGTGACATCATTTTGGTGGCAAAGCAACAGCTCAAGTATCAGTAAGTATTCCTAAAGGATTTGATGAATTATGTGCTGGTGTATCTGGTGTTATGTGTAACTAACAAAAGCCTTTGTTCTTCCAGGAAGTGGCATAATTTTGGTGGCAAATCAACAGTACAAGCATCAGTAAGTCTTATCAATGGAATTCTATGAGTTCTGAAAGTTTGTGCACTTTCATATTAGAAATACTTGGTTAAACACAAGCATATTCATTTGATTTTTAAGTTGCAGAGTCCAAAAGGTGCTGAATAAGAGAACTTAGTTATCATTACAGCCCATTCTCACCCCCAAGGCGTCACCTAACTGACGCCTTGGGAAGCATTTGGACATGCTTCAATATCTGACGCTTTAGGCGCCCTTTAGCGTCAGTTAGATGATGCCCTAGGATCGCGTGTACCCTACCCCCACCCCACACCTAAACCTAACCGCGTCCTCTAACAGACGCTTTCCTTTAGCATCAGTTAGATGACGCCATAGGATCGCGTCATGTAAGTGACGCTAAAGGGCGCCTAAAGCGTCAAATATTGAAGCATGGTCAAAGGTGACGCCTTGGGGTGAGAATGCGTTGATCATTATCATTTTAAACGGCAGATCACTAATTTTGCATGTCTTAAACAAATGCATATGTTTGTACGTATATATTCTTATACAACTTTCAAAAATCAGTGGCAGCTCTATCCTCAGAAAAAAAGGTACAAAAGCTGTCACTGGGGCGGTACCTTTTCAAAAGGTACACTTTTGTACCTAAAGGGTGCATATTGGTACCGTCATGGTACCATGAAGGTACCAATATGCACCATTTAGGTACAAAAGAGTACCTTTTGAAAACATATTTGTACCATTAAGGTACCAATATGCACCCTTTAGGTGCAAAAGTGTACCTTTTGAAAAGGTACCACCCCAGTGACAGCTTTTGTACCTTTTTTTCTGAGAGTTCTTGTAAAACAGATTCTGTTTGAATAGAACGCTTGGACAATTAAAACATGTATCGGATGCATTCAGACCAAGTTAAAAAATGAACAAAGGCTGGTAATGGGCCAGACTGTAAAGTGCTCTGTAATTACACCAGCAGGACTTAATTGACTGGGAGAAGAAGAGACTATGTCTGATAATCAGTGAGCAACAAAAGAGCAGGTATCTCTGATCATCTGAGAGACAAAGACAAATTAACCTCGTTGATCAAAGATTGCTTGCTGAGATCGGGATTTAAAGAATGGCCTTCTTCTTCGATTCATGAGTAAGAGTATGAATTAATTTAGCCACATACTGACTAATATTGTGAAATGTTATTACAATTCAGAATAACAGTTTTCTATTTGAGTTTTTTAAACCGTAATTTTAGCTGAATTTTCAGCATCATTACTCCAGTATTCAGTGTCACATGATCCTTCAGAAATCATTCTAATGTGATGATTTGCTCCTCAAGACACAATTCTAATTATTATCAATTTTGAAAACAGTTGTGCTTCTTCATATTTTTGTGGAAACTGCATTTCCAGGATTGTTTCATGAATAGAGAGCTTTTATTTGAAAGGGAAATATTAAAGCTCTTTACCCTCACTTTTATTCAATTTAATGTCCTTTTAATAAACAAATATTCATTTCTTTCTAAAGAAAAGAACAACTTTACTTCATTAGCACACATTTGAATTCAAACGACTTCTGCATCCTGTTTGCTACCGATCTGAATTGAATTGGAATTTAAAAGCCATTCTCATAGATGTCCGTCGGCTGTAAATCTAGTCTGCAATCCGACTTAAAATCCACTTAAGACGGAGTACGTGTACGTGGATTCTGCAAGTGAGATAATTAAGCCAGGCCTAGAAATACAATAAAGACTGCATTAAAGTCTTAAACTAGGATTTCTGTGCTAGAAAGCCTATTGTCCATACCATAGGATCCTGGATTCTAGGTGACATGTCCTGTTACCTTGATTTAACCCTCCCATCTCCAGATTGTGCCATATAAGCCCCCTTTCCTGGTATGCCTGCTCATATGTTTTTACAGGTTGCTAATCCAAATAAGTCCATTAAGACTTTAATACTGCCCATGACAGGAAGACCCATATTTACATGCCCCATGACCTTTAAATCTGATCTTTAATTTAGCTGACATACTTTTTATTCATATTTGCAGGACATCACATTTGCACTCAGAAACCACAGCTTTCTAAGCTCTATTTTACCTACAAGTGTCTATATGTTTGCATTCCCACACTAGCTCCTTGGGCACATTTTCCTCTGACAGGTGTACCTTGATCCGAGCACGTTTAGTAACTTCCAACAAAGACGCTCCTCGTGGCCATCAGGAATCCCCCTGTGGATGAGCTTGTGCTCTATTCTGAGCTCCAGTTCTCCTCGAGGGTCCCCAGGCATCGCCGGGGTCACGGCTAGCCCAGGCACGGAGTCAGCGATTCATCTTGCTTCGAGTTCATGCATCCACCTATGAGGGGGCGAGGGGGGTGGGGAGCTCAGGAGGAGATCCACACATGATGAGAGAGGTACAGGGTCACGGAGTTCACACAGACGGTCGGTCGCAATAACTAGAGCTTCTGGCTGTCGGACTCCACACGGAAGAACACACACAGGTTATCTGGGGAGATGCACATACTTCACACTTCCTTTTTTTAAAAAAATATAAAAATCCAAATAGGTTGTGTTATACTTTCAGGTAAATTTCAGTAGCTAGGCCTACATCGACTTTTTCTTTCTTGCAATTGTTGCGCCTAATTAACCGTCAGAAGACAAGAATTAGGTTGAAATATTATCGATTTATTAAAAATCCGTATTCAGTGAAAACCCTGCATGACGACAGTTTATTTGGTGGGTAAACATGTTGGTTTTGGAAAGAATGTCTCTAAATGAAATCTACATTTCTGTAAATCAAAAATGTATGTGCACCTGATCGGCTAAAGGCTATTGACGGACATTTTGTCATTTTTGTTAATGAACGTTAGCTAAATACTGAGTTAGCCTATTGTTGTTTTCAAATGCAATCACAGATGTTTTAATTATCACGTGACGACTGGTCTGGAAACTTTTAATTTGAAAGAAAATGCTTGTTAAATTAAAATAAGGTGGTCAGAAAAAAAACGCCTGTATTAGCTAACTGTTAAGATAGCTTTTACGCATTGTATGGCATCTATACCCTACAATAAAATATATTCATATCATGGCTAAATATAAATGGCAAAACTGTCTCTGGAAAATAAAAGATAGGCTGAACAAGCGATTTGAGATAGCTATGGCACATATAAAGGGCACTAAGTCCAATTACAATTAATCTCATTTATTTGAAGCCTGACCTGATTAATGTGATAAGATCACAGCGCTTTTCTGACACCTCTGTGCAAAACACATCTCACCTATCATCGGTCTGTGAACTGATCAGATAAAATTCTAATATTTCTGATAACATGAGCCTTTACAGGACAAACGATCTGTCTTTTTCAAGGTTAGATGGAAATATATCGTTTCAGGCACATATTTTAATGAACCATCAAAACAAGTTGCCTATTTTTGAAAGCGGTATTTGGATATATTTATAACTGCGATTTTCTATTTCTTACTCTATTCAAAGTTAACTTTTCGCACGAACTTATTTCATATAGGCAATATATAATTTAATTTAGGGAAACGAAGGCGCAAGCGTGTATTTTTCGTCTAAAAATGCACGAAGAACATAAGGCACGAATAAAATGAACCAATAAACGAAAATTTGTCATGAGAAACAATTCTATTTTGTTGCATTGGCCGTGTTAAATGATCGCATATATGAATCAAAATATTTCATATTTTTGTAGCTAAATATTAATGACCCGCTAATAGTCTTGGCTCCTGCCTTTGGGCTTGTGTTTTAGTTTCTTTGCATTGGTGTTCACAGTTCCCGAAAAAGACCTCAAAACATTTAAAGCGCTTAATGCATGACAAGATGAAAATGAACATCACTTTGTCTCTCAAAGTTATGAAAACTATCTTTATTAGAAAAGGTAAAAACAAAAAGCACATTTACGCACGAAATGATTAATGCAAATTGTTTAATCAAATGTTTCATCCATCGTACATCAAATCCAACATCGCCCACCCTGATCATTTAAGGGTTTGAATTGTAATACTTAATACCGAGAAAACCGTTGAAAAATACATCAATAACATTTATTGTCGAGCCTCAGAAAAACATAACCGTAAGTGCTGTGGTTGATTGTTTAGATACAGGAAGTTGATGAGCAGGAAAATAAATAGCCTACAACAAAATAAATAAATGTTAAATCCATTGTCTCCGCGAAACAAACGTGGTATTTGTTGAAGGTTTTATGGTAACACCAATAGTGATTTTATTTCTGTTATTTTGGATCAAAGCGTACGCTACTCCCTCGATCAAACAACTAAATTAAGACAGTAAAATATCGACAATTACACCGTGAGGAAATCAATCAAACGTTAGCCTATTTTGTAAAGTCTTTATGGCACATATGATGTTAAAGTATAGAGATCAGGAGAAAGAGAGTAAAGATATCTTCACATTTTCACAATATCATTGCTATATAAAGCGACACTGAGTGAGAGAGATTTCAGTTTCATCCTGTATGTTTTGCTCACCAAAACGACCATCATGTTCATCTCTCTCTCATTGAATGGACATATAGGGCCAGTTGAAACTGCTCCCAGATAGCAGCATATCCCTGATGAGCGTCTCGATGGGTGTTTTACCCACCAGTCGAACGAAGAAAATCTGTTCTATGACGGAGGAGGAGACCATGCGGAGCGCGGGGAGTCTCAGCAGAAGCTTGCCGAAGCGAGTGGGCTGGTTCGGGTACTGGCTCCTCACGTACTCCTCGAGCGCACACTGGGATTTCTCCTGAAGACCTTCTATATGCGGTACGTCTGAAAGGCCGCATGCATCTGCATACGAATACAGCGGAGTCAGATATAAACTCACATCATTCAGAAGGATAACATCTCTGACATATAACTGCGACTCTAAATATCCACACATTCTGGAGTTATTGCACATGATTGTGTGTAATGGTTCAGAAAAAGACAGCAAGAAATATCATACAAAGTGTTTGCATGAATTTATTTTCTTAAGCCGAATTAATTCAGCCTATTCGTTCGAAAATCGAATTGTGTCATTTAAACAGGCTTCATCCATTCACTATTCAACTATTCTCCTTTCAAGAATTTTATTCTTAATTCTTAATTTTACGAAGTTTAATTTCGTAATGTTTCTGTTATTTATAGCTATGAAATAGAAAATATGTTGGCTATAGCCAATTACCGAAACAAATTAAGCACTTGCTAGCAGCCTATTTGTAGAATATATTTAAAAAGTTGAAAAGGGAGTAATTAAAACAACAATAAGAAACTCCAATAATTCGAAATAGCCTACATTGTTTATAGACTTAGTATAGCCTACACTTTCCATTTCTATAGAGTACCAGCCTTAGACCTTATTCAAAGCAGCGTCTTTTTTGACGTTTAACGGGAATGAAAGCGAGGCTGTGAGGTATTGACAGCTCTTCCGTAGCCTATTATTTGGTGTGTTTTGGGGTTGCTCTGAAAAATCTCTTTCAGAGAAATTTCAATAAACAAAAACCTTGATAATGTGAGCTGTGGAAAATTATAAGTGATCCAGAGCTTTATTCAGCTTTTGTTTCTGTCTTTTTTCTTCTACTTTTTGCTCTCTCTCTCTCTCTCTCTCTCTCTCTCTCTCTCTCTCTCTCTCTCTCTCTCTCTCTCTCTCTCTCTCTTTCTTTTTACAGCGGATGTAGGCTATTTCAAAACACGGTAAATGTATCCCTCACAGACTTGCTTTGCATTATAAGGTCTATAATGGCCTACCTATATTAACTTTTTTGGAATATTAGCCTACACTTGCGATTCAGTATTCTTCAGTAAGGTTTAAATTTAAGGGAGTTTGATATCAGCATGTCTCTTTTTCTTTCAGTAGCCTAGCCTACTAGGCCTATTATTTCCGGGCGCATTCGGTCAACCTAAATGCCTTTGCACAGTTAGCAAATCGCCTGCCAACATTTTAAACAAAAATCCAAAATATTTTTTTGTGGTATATTATATGTGCTGTGTACATTTATAACAAGCCTGTAATTAAAAATAAACATAGGCCTACTTCTGCTTTTGTCGATGTGTCATGTCCCATGTCATGTGACGCTATCGGAAACAGAAAAGCGCTATAGAATGCTGTTGCTATAGTAACCCGGTAGACATGCGCGAGCTTATGTTTAGCGCACTCTGCCTAAAACTTGTAAAAAGACCTTTGCTAAGTTATGAAATTAAGCAGTTTATATTTATCGGGTCACATTTGAAGGACTAAATGTAATATTTGTAAAGACTATACCAAAAATGATAATTTAAACCTAAAACATTAATGTTGATTAACACTTTACAGATAGGCTACAATAGTAGACTATGGGTTATTGAGTAATACTCAAAATAATAGCCTAAGGAAAAAAAAATTAAACAACATACACATGCCTTTAATAGCCTATTGTTGCACACAGAACATTTTGGTAAGATTAATAGTATTTGAAACAAACACAGCGGAACAAATAGGATTAGCCTATCTTATAGACATGCTCATTAAAGTGTACAATAAGTTTACTCGATCTTGAATGATTCGGGCCTACCTGATGTGAACAGCACTATTGCTTTGGCACAGCTGTATTCGGCAGAGTCCACCTGCAGGGCCTTCAGCTTCTCCACCTGCTCCTGGAAGAAGCGGATATGATCCATGAAGGCCACGACCCGATCCGCAGACATTGGGGACGCGTGAAGTCCAGCGGCGGCCAGGAGAGGAGCCACATGGAGCGGCATGGAGCACTGCGCAGCGTTCAGGACAAAAAGTTCACTCCAGGTGAGTCTGAGGAGAGACACCTGATCCGTGATTTGAAGGTCAGGAAAGAAAGGGATGTTCCTTGCCCATTCCACCGCACTGAAGAGCAAACGGGCCGCCAGCTCGCAGATGTTCTCTATGCCCATGATGTTACCGGACTGCATGCACTGGTTTCCATATCGTGAGGCTGGATATGGTTCGGCCCGAAGCAGAAGGGATATGTATCCGGATAGGTAGCATTGGCCATTCAGGGGGTCTCCATTGGTCAGCACGTAATGGCTCGGGTTCGGCTGGTTTGGTGGCATTCTTCCTCGCTGAACCGCTATCAAAACAGGAGGAGATGGAGAAGAAATGTGCATGCAAATAACATATAATATAATCTTGAATAAAAGCATCTCTCACCCTACTCTCTGTATATTATGTGCACAGCAATCATTGGAATAATCTATCTATCTATCTATCTATCTATCTATCTATCTATCTATCTATCTATCTATCTATCTATCTATCTATCTATCTATCTATCTAAAATTGTAATCATAATTATTTTTAAAAATTTAAATACTGTTTGCACAGTATAACCATTGCTGCCGATGTGGTGTTAAATCAAATAAATTATCTATCTATCTATCTATCTATCTATCTATCTATCTATCTATCTATCTATCTATCTATCTATCTATCTATCTATCTATCTATCTATCTATCTATCTATCTATTATTGCAATCATAATTATTTTTTAAAATTGAAATACTGTTGACAGTATTTTGTCAGTAAATTGAATTATCAGTTGACAGTACTGATTGCACAGTATAACCATTGCTGCTGATATGGTGTTAGATCATAAATAAATTATCTATCTATCTATCTATCTATCTATCTATCTATCTATCTATCTATCTATCTATCTATCTATCTATCTATCTATCTTAACTGAGTGCAATCTATGAAAACACAAGACTGAAAGGAACTACTGCGATGCTCTTTTAATATTTTATGCAGTTTTATGAGATGTATTATTGTATCTGTGCTATACTGATACAATAATGTAACTTTTCCTGTTCAGTGATTGCAAGCCAACTCAGAATTCTTGAGTTATTACTTGTATATGTTACTTTATAAATTGGGTTATATTATTACATTGAGAATCATTTAAAAAAGCTTTTTGATTATAAGGCATTTTTATGCACAAAGACCAATTATTTATTAATTGTATTGCTTTTAAGCAAGCTGTTATATATTTGATAATTAAAGTTGATGATTAAAAAAAATACATATATAGGTATTGTTTTTGAATATATTTGTTCTTTCGTTCTTTCTGCAACAAAAGACATTGAACACTCACCTTCGCGTCTCATGCCCACTTTCAGGCATTTCTTCAGGCGGCAGTACTGGCACTGGTTCCTGTGGTGCTGATCCACCGGGCAGCTTCTGTTGGCACGGCACGTGTACGTTAAGTTCCGCCGAACACTCCGCTTGAAGAAACTTTTGCATCCCTCACACGTGAACTGTCCGTAGTGCTTCCCGCTGGATTTATCCCCGCAAACAGCGCACTCAATGTGCTGCTGGTTCTGGGCTGAGTTCTGTCCCTTATCCTCCGCGGTGGGAAGTCCGGTGTTTGGAGAGTGCGCGGCTGCGCTCATGCGGTGGTGCTGGGGGTGGTCTCTCCCCGGTCCGCTCGGCTCATCCAGAGATCCCCCCGGTGGTAGTTCCTCCTGCGGATCTCTCCACACGCTCACCACCATGGCCATGGCTGGACTGCGAACCTTTTACGCGTCTTCTCCAGAATTATTCAAGATGAAGAAGACCGGTCGCGTTTTAATCCATGCAGAAGAACCTATTGATGTGGAATGCGCTTCGAGGAGACTGAAGATATGTGTCCAACAAGTTCAGACAGCCAGAGCAGATAGCACATCAAAAAATCACGCGGATTTAAGGAACTCGTGTTGGTGATGTCTTGGTGCGTAAAAGGGACAATCGGAAACCCCAAATGAATCAGATCCGAGGGGAGCAAAGACGAGCGCAGCTTTCTGTTGGCATGATTGACATGAGCATGAATGGAAGAATGCTACTCTAACTAAAAACGGCCTTATTTGGAATATCCGTAAAAACAGAGCTGAACGGACTCAACTTTGGCATGATGGTGATCCAAATGACCACACCTTTGCTTGGTCTTAGGCGCTTCAGTGGTGGTCTATTGAATGGTCTGTATTAAGGAGCCCATCAAGTATTAAAGCACAGAAGTGGGCGGCTCCTTTAAGCTCGAAAGCTCTGTTTGATTGGCCATTTAGCTCACATCCTTCCAAAGGCGCCGCGGCTGGGTGCAATTATGTGCTTCGAGTCACTTTTTGCCTTTGTATTTTCCAGCCCAGTGCATCTATAATATAATATAATATAATATAATATAATATAATATAATATAATATAATATAATATAATATAATATAATATAATATAATATTTGAAATATTTGATTTATAAATAATTGATTTTTTTTTTTTTTACATGTGACCAACCAAGGTAGGCTATTTATAGAAACGGGTATTACAAAAATATTAATAACAGTGATTGCACTTTCAGCAGCAACTACTTCTCGTGCATAATTCAGTGAGTTCAAGGGTCAAAGTTTTGCTTTGAGTTGCTGGTGAACCTCAAGGCCTGGGATGGAGCAGGATCACATGATTGGTGCCATGTTTGTGAACAGGTTGTAGGAGCTGCAGGTTAAAGGGTCAAAGTGATACAATGAGCAAAGACAAGGACAGAGCCCAGGGTCAAAGGTCAAAAGAAGGGTCACTACTCACTACAAAAACAATGTGCTAGATTCAGCTAAGCATTAGTATCTTCATTTTTCTATGAATCTTTGCCATCTTGTTTTGAATTATTCTAATGGGTTCTAGTGCAACTAGTTAGTTGTTTATTTATTAGTATGCTCTGTAAATAACGTATTAAACTAATGATAAACTGTTAATTCATCTAAAATGTGTAATAAAAAATTTAATTAGAAAAATGCATTTTTTGCACTAGGATCACAAAGTCGGCTACCTTTTTGTGTTCAGTGATTGTGTGCAGGCTTAAATCAGATGCCTAAATCACAGCGGTCGACACTAGCGCTGGCACTTCATGTACCAAAAGGGCCACAGAGGCTCAGGGGCAGCGGGTGATGTCAAAGGGCGCCGCATTTCACATGCAGATGTGTGACCTCTGTGACCTCTGGAAGGACTGAGCTATTTGGAAGCCAAATGCATGCAGCTGGATCTCTGACACACTGAAATGTACTCCAGCACACCTGGATGATATGAGTAAATCTGGGTATCTATTACATGTGACACATTCCCAGATGTAGCTGATTTATTTCAGATAGTCTGGACTGATTGCAAAATATTGATTAGCAGTGACATATCGGTCTAGTTCATTGATTTGCTTACTTAGTATGAGTGGTAGGAAAATAAACAACTTGCTGTCTTCTTAAGCGCACTAAGCTTTGAGATTCAACTGTTATCACCATGGTATTGGTTGTCTACATATGAGAAAGAGGGTCCTTGACTGGCGTTTAAAGGAATGGAGCTTCAATAGAGGCTCGGACCACAACGTCCCACCGTCAAACACAGTCCAGGGCTTGTCGCACTTGAAATATTTAACCCTGGTCATCTAAACCCCAGATAAACAGAATCCTGGGTCATCTTGTTTCTACTCATACTTTACCCAGGATTAACAATTAATCCTGGGTGATGTTTTTGCACGGTATATTCTTAAAATGGGTTAACGTTCTTATTTGCATATTTGCTATCAGCTCATTGAATGGCCAAATGCAGCATCCAATAGCATTGCGCGCCTTCCTTTTATAAATTGCCCTAAGTTTTTCCTGAATGGACCCGAACTAGAACAACATATCTTCTTCATTCCAATGTGTTTACCATCATCATTTCACCATTTACCATTACGCGGCAGGTGTAGCATAGCAGTTACATTCTAAAGACCCGTTCACACAAAGGACGATAACTATAAAGATTATGATAAAGATATAGTTCTAAAAATCATTCTCAATATTAAAGGTCCCATGTTATGCCCCTTTTCACAAGATGTAAAATAAGCCTCTGATGTCCCCAGAATGTGTATGTGAAGTTTCAGCTCAAAATACCCAACCAATCATTTTTTAGAGGATGTTTAAATTGTTATTATTTTTGGGGGGGCTCAGAAAAACATGCTGTTTTGGTGTGCCCTTTAAATGCAAATGAGCTGCTGCTGCCGGCACAGGGGGCGGAGCTTCCTGAGCTCGCGCTCAGTCTCTCAGGACAATTCTAAAGGAATGATGATAATACCAAAAACTCTCAGTGTTCATTTCAGAGTCAGAGTGCTGTATAGAGATGGAACAGGTATAGTTTAGTAGTTTAATTACGGTTATTATGACGTATTTGTCATCTGCTTGTATGTATCCATTATTTATTAATAGCCTACAAGTCTGCTATTTCGGACCAGGTCCGAATGATGATCAAACATATACTGAAGAGTTTAATAAAGTTTATTGTCCATCACACAAAAGATGAAGCGTTGGTTTTACTTCAGAAAATCACAGTAAGAGCTGAGTAAACACAGTAAGAAGTGGGCAAGTTGAGGGAGTTGAGGGAGCATTCCTGTGGGCGGACGTTAGTCAAAAAACTGTTCTACTGACGTCATTAAAGATGGAAGTAGACGGATGTAGTCCAAACGGCCGTTCGATGTAGGCTACTTCTGTTAAATAAAATATCTCACTTGGCATTGAACTTTGAGCTTAATAATTTTACAGATATTATTTATACTCCAACAACAACATTACACACCAACTAAAGTTTGAAACATGGGATCACGAAGATAATGGCACAGAGACACGTTGTTGGAATCACTGATTAACGATAAAAACACTGACAGCCAATCAGAATCCATCCTGCTGTAACGCGCTCGAGCATTTAAAGCGACAGACAAACATGAGCTTAGAATATCTTTCTTGGTGTGAGCAAGCCGTAACACTGTTTCACAATAGCTACAAGTTTGTCAGCGCAATGAGAGTTAACAACGAAAAAGTAGTGCTAACCCTGCTCTGGAGCAGTGTTTATAACCCCGGGTAAAAAGTGGCGCTAACCCGTCTCTAAAGTACAAGTGTGTATATTTAGTTCACTATACACTTGTAATTGCTAACCCCAATTCCAAACTGATATATATTTAGTTATTTTTTTAAATGAAATTAAATTTGGAAGGCGTTAATGGATGCATTCTTTAATATAGAACATTATTAACCAAATGCTAGAATCACTTTTAATGGTGGTAAGAAGTTACGTAATTACCAAATCATTTGTTCCATTCCCCTCCTTTTTGGGGCAAATTAGATGTACGAGCTGTCAACAGAATATCCGATAAATCAGACTCGGATGAGATTACACAGAACTGGTCTGTATCGTTTACCACTCTGTCAACAGCCTGGTCCTTCATGTTTACTGGGGGACAAATCTGTGTCAAAGGTCACAGGTCCCTCTGTTGACCTGTTGAACAGATGGAAGCTTTAGTTTCCCAGGCTGTCAGGGATCTCTCTCCAAGTGTGGGAAAGATTTGAGTCTTCACATTACATCATGGCCTTAACACACACACACACACACACACACACACACACACACACACATACACACTACCAGCCTAAGGAAGGAGGCTTTATACTTTGGTAAGACACTGAACTCACAGCTCAGCGACAAGAAAATTCATAAATTAGTTATGTAAATTAAAATAAATGAAGTAAAGTACTGTTAAGTCTGAGTAATAAAAATCTTGATTCGTCCAAATTTTAGCCCGTGCGGATGCATAACTGACTGGAATTCTTAAATTCTAATTAGATATGTCTTCCATTCATTCAAGAACCAATATTAATACTAATAGGAGACTACCCGTATCCAACAGCGTTTTGTAAGGTCTTCAATTTAAATACTAAATTTAACATTTGACCTCTGACGGTGACCTTTGACCAGGAGAGAGCAGACCTGTCCCCGCTCTGGAGGATGGAATTGATAAGATCATTCAATGAATTACATAAAACGAAGAGAAGGAAAGGTACAAATGGATCCATCATCTCAGTCATGGCCATTGTTTTAGAATGACAGCACATTGCATGAAAGGGTCTTTGTCTTTAATAGTCATTCAATGAGAATTGATCTGATACAATCAATTACTTGGGGAAATTGGTGCAGAATGTATACGCTCATAAATGAATGAGGTTTTGTGACACAACTTTGCTTTGTTTTTAAAAAAAATAATATATGCTTTTGACTTAAATCAGAATTTGTGCTGTAAAATATGGGAAAATTAAAATACTTTCTTTGGAATTGCCCAATGTAGAGTCCTGGACCATAGCTGGGAAAAATGTATCATTATGTTTTAGCATGTGTGTAAGTGAATGATGGTACTTTAAAATAACTGATCCAAGTTCATGAATTTAAATAGAGCTGTGCTGCCATCTGCTGTTGGGTGTTTGACAAATAATCTGGATTTTTAATGCAAGTTTCATGTTCAAGTTGTGTATATTTTAATGCTGTAACAGTATACTAATATGTATTTTTTTAAACGTTTTTTTTTTTTTTTGCAGTTAATCCTGCAGTGACAAATGACAATTACATATAGATACCTATGTAACAGGAAATCATAAAACATGTATGCATGAAAAATGATTACAAAAATGATAGAAATGTTTTTAGATAAAGTATAGCAAGTCACACTGCAGACACTGCTTGAAATGTCTTGTCTGTTATTGATATTGTTGTTATTGTTAACTTAAACTATTCATTTTTGGTAAATCTAAAATAGATTAAAAAAAAATTAGAATTTTGGGCCCTATGAAAGAATATGAGGTTGGGCCACCCACCACACCCATTCCTTTAACTGACTTCTCAACCAAACGGTTGAGCACATTTTGAGTCACTATATTTTATTGAGAGGAGTACCGAACTTAACTCAAACTGATTGAGGCATATCTATCATCTGGTTGAGGTATATTATGCCAAAATCCACTAGATGTCACAATGTCAATCAACAGCACTTGTTCTGGATGTCAGAATCAAATAAATCACCCCAGCCATGTGAACTGTTTTTTTTTTTAACATATTACACTGTAAGAGCCTTAACTTTACAAAATGATGTTACTTGGTGCTATGAAAAAACTTTTCAAAAGTTTTTCAAAAACATGCTCAACCAAACGGTTGATTTGGCACATAACGGTTAATTGCCACCCCTTTTGAGAATGGACATTACAATGCACTATTAAAACTTGGTTGTAATTCAAGTATGCTTTGGAATAAAGACCTACGTTTAGTCTTGTTTTAAAGAAAACACTCA